ATGATTTGAATGTAAATAAAATAATGTGAAACCAGTTAAGTTATCTGGAAAATAATAAACAGAAAAAAAAAGTGGAATGAAGCATAAATGGTCTGTGCATAATGCATCAAGTATCTCGTTAGACTTTTTATCTCTGAGGGGTATATATTCCCCTATTCTCATCCGGAGTATCTGTTTTCTCCCTCCCCCATTTGGTCTGAAAAGATCTAAGAGAACCTCTCATTGTGGATGACAGAGTACCGTCTGATGAGAGTGGTGATACGAATATCTATTAGGGGTCATATTTTACTAAGTACTGTCGTGACTATAGAATATTTAATAGAACCACTATGGTTGGTACGACCGTGATCATAAAATATACCATAGTTTAGCAAGCCAGAAATGTGTCTGAGCAAATTTTCGTTATCTGTATCTGATCTGGTCATTCCACATGGGTAGTCAAAATCTGTATCTATCTTTAGAGATGGAAGTCGTAACGACTTTATGAAGCATGACACAAAAATCTGAGTATTTCATGATTTATTTGATTTTCTCTATTGTCAGGTATGTTGTGTGTTTTATCTTGATGGTTGTGACTATAACATGATGTTTTTCTTTAAATAAATAAATTATTTTCATAAGATAAGTTACGACTACGACGTGACCTAATGATAAGTGTTTGTGTTATAATTATTCACATTTTAAAACCTTACGATGTTATCTAAATATTATTTTTCTTACTGAGCATATAAAACTCACAATTTCCATGCCCCCGCCAGATGAGGAAGATAGTGAGGAATTGTCAGCTGACCTACTCATTGAAGTCTATAAGGATCTCGTGAATCCACAAGCCTTGAGTGCATGATTGTTTCCGTACTCTGATGAGTCCAATAGTATAATGATAGAAGTAATCATCTTTTGTATTTTGACATTGTATTTTGCAGCCACTTCTGCCCTTAGTTATATATATATAATTGAAACTCATATATTTGTAACAGATTTGTATTAATTTGCTCTACTGCATATAATTTTTATTATGCACTCGTAATCTATTTTTGTATCTGACACCCTTATATATTAATTAGCATTTGGGATGTCACACCAGAAATCAGCTTTGATGTTGGTATGTTGAGAAGGTATCAAAGTGATCCCGTCATTGAACACTAAAAAGCTGCAAAGAAGGTTATGAGGTATCTTTAAGGAACATAGGATTATATACTCACATATAAAAGATCATAATAATTAAAGGTGATTGGATACTCAGACTCGCATGTGATGATTGTCGTGATAACTTAAAGTTTATTTCAGGGTTTGTCTTTATGCTATTAAATAAAGCAATCTCGTGGAAGAGTATAAAATAGTCCATTACTACCTCATCCACAACAGAGGTCGAGTTTATAACATGTTTTGAAGGCTTAAGTCATGCTTGTGGTTGCAGAATTTCATCTCATGATTTGATGTTGTCGACTCTATTGCCAAACCACTAAGAATATTTTATGATAACGCGACAATTGTTTTCTTTTTTAAGAATGATAAATATTTTAGTAAATCCAAAAACATGAATTTAAAGTATCTATTTCTTAGATGAAGAGTTCAGAAACAACAAATGTCAATTAAAAATATTAATACCACAGTTATGATTACTGATCAAGTGACTAAAGGACTACCTCCAAAGACATATATGAAACATGTAGTAAGGATGAGTCTTTTGAGTAATCCTAAATGTATATGGTGATAGATATTTCAATAGTTGTATAATTAACATTTTGCACATTAAAGTTTGTTTTTATTTTTTCATGTTATTTTAAGTTATGGGTGCACAATTTTTTTGTATTTAATCAAAAAAAAAATATTTTGACAAGACAAATTCTATGAGCTATTTTGGCATTATAGACTGAATTAGTAAGAATTATTAATGTGTGATGCATAAAAAGAAATATGACATTGAAGTCGTATGACTGTTATAATTCACATTTGTAATCTAAGTTATTTCAATATTATGGTATAGTATTTTTGAACATGTTAGCTGATTTTATTGTGATCATGTATCAAATTTATTTTACAAATAAATATATTTTAGTATAAAATGTATATATATTATTATAAGTTTTATAATCGATTTAGTGAGTCAAGTGGGAGAATATTAATTCTAGCAATTAAGTAGATGATCCACAAATTTAGTGTTTTATTTTTATTATCCATTTATAATGGATGGAGGATCCACTAGCTTAGTATTTTATTTTTGTTATCCACTTATAACGGATGGAGTCAATTAAAAGTATGTCTAAATAATAATAGATAACCATTAAAAAGGAAAAAGTACTTTGATGAAATGAGTAATCTTAAAATAAAATATTATTATTATAGTTTATGAGGATTAAATATAATTATTATATTTTATGAGGATTAAATATAATTATTTTATTTTATGAGTATCCAAATATAATAATTATATATTAATTATAAAAAAATAATTATTAACACATTCAATTATCATGAATGTACTTTATCTTCTTCTCTTATCTATAAAATAAGCACAAATTCTTTTTTTACAATATGTTTCCATCAGCTGAAGTTCTAAACTACTTGTGCATAATAGTTAGATAGAGAGAAAAAGAGAGTAAGAGAATTAGAAATTTTTATTAAATGAATCTCTCAATCATACTTTGTTGCATCATATTTGAACGATATGTAATTCTAATTTTTTATTTTTTTAAGATGTATTGAATTTAATAAGATTGAGCAAATTAGCTCCTGCTTCAAAATTTCTTAAATATGAAACTCTTATATGTTGTGTGTTTTTTTACAAAAAGACCTGTTGTACTCTGAGAGTTTTAATCTATCTTAAAATTATCATATAGATATAATTTTTTTAAATCTTTTTAATAAGGTAATGAATACAATCATACTACTATATAGTATAACATATACATTTATACTCTTCTAAGGTGTTTGTAAAAAATCCTTGAACAAAGTTAAAACATATTTTAAAGGTTTTTCTCTTCTTTTCTATATAGTGGACCATTAATCTTTCTCCATCTATTTCCATTTAGCATAAAAAGAGATATTCTCATATAATAATAGTTCTAAATATGATATTTGGTCTATCTTTTTTGTATTATCTTGGTTTGATTAATTAATGATCATACAAAAATTTAATACTGATATATTCATAACTGTTGTAATATTTTTGGGAAGATTATGCATGAGTATGAATACGTGAGAATTTATTAGAAAATCACATTTCTATAAACTTTAATATAAGGTTTATTGTTGAGGTTTCTTTTAGGGTTTGAGATTATTTTTAGATTCATTATTGGCATACTAAGTTTTAAATTATTAAGTTATTATAATCTACTACTATTGGATCAGTATTCAATTCTTGAACAACCTTTTTATTATATCCAAACTTTGTTTATATATATACTTATAAGAATTGTAATTAATGTGGATGAACCTCTTTTTTGGAATTCAATAAAAATCATTTTGTCTATAACATTCATTTGTTAAATCTTTTGCAATTTGAAATGACGAGTGATTTAGTTTGAATTTGCAAACATTGTTCAGGATAAAGTCATAAAATTTTTTAGCTTTGAACATATCGTAGATTTTCTTTTTAAATCATATTAAGTTTTATTTGTGTATATTATTTAAAAATTACGAAAACGATATGTATTACTTCTCTCATTTATGATAAGTTATCCGAACAAAAATTATAGAATTTATTTTAAATAAGATAATATAATTTTATTTAATATTCTGTTCAATTGTGATATAACGATAACAAATATAATCAAAGTTTGATCAATATAGAATCTTATAGAGGGAAGGAAGAAAGTTCTTATATATATATATATATTTTATTTTTGTGTATTTGAATTATTTTTCTCTCCTTTTTTTAATGACTTAATTTAGTTAGTTATATTCTTGATAAAGACCACTAACATGTTTCTACTTCAATTCGGACGCACAGTAAAAAATGCAAAACTAAATTGTAATTACTTACTTCATGTCACTGAGTGAGTGCATTGCATTTTTCTATAATATATTATTTAGATTAAATTTTTGTACGTTGATGTTACTTATCAAGGATATCATTTGAAATTGATAAAATTGAGATATAACGAAAAAATTATGTATGTATAGATTGAGATGTGGAGAAAATAGTGAAAAGGAGAAGAAGCGTGAAGTAACACGAGGAGGAAAAGTCTGGTTAGGGTGCATAATTCGGTGGCGTGCACTTGTGGGCAATTTGGTAATGGGAAGCACTGGATAGAAAACTCTCATGAGGAAGAGAGTCGTACAAAGCATCTTTTTGGATTGTGAGTTCGAGAGGGACACGCGGTGTGCAATTCCTGACCCACCATTTTTATCTTCATTACCCCATTTAATTTAATAATTTAATAATATTTCTTTCCTACCACTGTCCATCTTCATCACCTTCATCATCACCTCTCGCACTTTCCTTCTACCTGTTTTGGATTCGAGCACTTCTGGGCAACTACTCTGCTCTACCTGCTGTTTCTTTCCGATTATCAACGGTTTCTGGCAAGCACTTTTTACTTTATTTGTTCAATTGAACTTATTTTTCAGACTCCTTTCTGTTGGTTCTTTTACTTTATATGTGAAAAGCTCAGTTTTAAAATTTGGGTTTTCATGGCAGGAAGGGATTAATTACTGATTCGGGACTACTGGGCATGTGGGTTGCTCTTAATTGGAACCATGGATGTGTCGCCGTACTGTTTCTGGACTTTTGGGGAAGAAATGAAGCTGATTGGGATTATTTAGAAGTTAATAGTTGAGTGTTTTTACCTCTGATCTGTACTCGGCGGTGGGTTTCTTTTTCAGCCTTGTGCTTTCCTCTCACGTTCTTGAGAGGGGCTTAATCTTTTTGGATTCTTCTTCTTTTTTGGATTTAGAGTACTGGATTTGGATCTTTTTAGTTATCTGCGTTTGATTAATGGAAGCCAGATTAGGAACTCAAGCTCACCATTTTTATGACATGAGCTCCGCGGATATGCGGGGAGTAGGGAAAAGGAGACATGAATGGGATTTGAATGAATGGAAATGGGATGGTGATCTTTTTATCGCTCGCCAGTTGAATCCAGGTTCCCCTGATGTCATGGGCCAACAATTTTTCCCGCTCGGTAGTGGGATTTCTCTGCCGGGTAATTTATCAAATAGCTCCTCATCCTGCTCTGATGAAGTTAATGTGGGATTTGAAAAAGGTAAAACTGAATTGGAGAAGAGGAGGAGGGTTGTTACAGAGGAAGAAGACGCTTTGAACGAGGAAGTTGGTAATCTTACTTTGAAGCTTGGTGGGCATGGTTATCCAATTAGGGAACGGGGGGTAGGGAATTGGGAGGGAACGAGTGGGAAAAAGACAAAACTGGGTGGAGCTGCTTCAAATCGTGCAGTTTGTCAGGTGGAAGACTGTGGAACTGATCTCAGTAATTCCAAGGATTATCACAGACGGCATAAGGTATGTGAGATGCATTCAAAGGCCAGTAGAGCCCTTGTGGGAGGTCTTATGCAGCGGTTCTGTCAGCAGTGTAGTAGGTAAGCATTTGTTTGTGTGAATTTCTATTGACTGTTTATGTTTACTTACTTTCTTAGACTCTTGCTACTAGTCATGTTCTAGCCAATATAGACTAGACGCAGTATGTCCTTTAAACATTGACGTAGCTGTAAATATTTTTGCTTCTAAATGAATTGCTGGATTTCATTAAAGTGATACCTGCCTCCTAAAAAAATCTTTGAGGATCATTGTTTCGTAATTGTTAAAAGGTCAGAAGTTCATATGTCTAAATTATGATTCAGGAACTTATAGCATTAATAAATTATGCTCTCAAACGTTACAGATTTCATGTTCTTCAAGAATTTGATGAAGGAAAGAGAAGTTGCCGCAGACGGTTGGCTGGGCATATAAACGTAGGAGGAAAACAAATCCTGATGCTGGTGCAAATGGGAATCCTTTAAAAGATGATCAGACTAGTAGTTATTTATTGATAAGTCTCTTAAGGATACTTTCCAACATGCATTGTAAGTAACTTTCTTACTATAACATGATATTTCGTTCTGGGAATGATTTTCAGCTTTTTACTTGGGTGTAATTTACCTTCCTTACATGTAAATAATACTTCAATTTTCTTTCACATGCATGGGTTCACTCTTTTTACAAGGCTATAAACTTTCATGGATTAAATAAGCTAGGAGGACTGACTTGAAAGCCAAGACGGACCAGAATGATTTTGAACATAATCATAATTTCAAAATTTTCAAAAAGAAGATTGAAGGGTTTGTAGGTGAACCAGGTAACTACTGCGAAGTTACTTGGTTAACTTTGTAGAGATAAAAAAAGATTTAATTTTTTTTAACAAAGTAAATGGTAGTGCCAAACATTAATAAAGGAGAAAGCACTTGCAATAACCTATTCTGGCTTTTTTCCTCCCATAATTCATGTTTAATAGAAACATTATATTTTTAAGTCATTCCTTGCATCACTCAAGTAAAACTGAAAGCACCAAAACTGTTTCTGTGAAATATTTTCATTTAAAAAGCACCTTTTAAAAGAATATTGTAAGTTATGCGACTAAAATTATGATGAAAATAACTTTGAGACTGAATTGCATCATAGCTCATGGTTCAAGGGTTAAATCCTTTGGGTCTTTGTTAAAATATTAGACATGGGTCTGAAAAAGTAACACCATTTTTCTTTTATTTTCTTTCTCCATGTTCAGTTCCTTGTAGGGATGGGGTAAAGGAAACTTTTTGTTTCTGGCTGTCTCAATACCCTATTTATCACTCTTCTGCTTGGAATTGTTATGGCACCATTAGGTTTGGATTAAGTGGTTCTGTCTTAAATTGCAGCCAATAGGTCAGGCCAGATCACTGATCAGGATCTGCTAACCCATCTTCTAAGGAGCCTTGCTGGCAATGCTGGTGAAAATGGTGGAAGGAACATATCTGGGCTTCTGCAGGAACCTCAAGATATGCTAAATGATGTTACTTCTGTAGGGAATTCAGAAGTGGTATCAGCTCTTCTATCCAATGGACAGGCCCCTTCTAGGGCTTTCAAACATATTATGGTACCTGTGTCTGAGATTCCACGTCAAGGGCTACATTCCCATGAAGCTAGAGGTGCAGAACTTCGCAGTTCTGCTGGACTGGTTAAGATAAACAATTTTGATTTAAATGACATATATATTGACTCAGATGATGGCACTGAGGAAATTGGGAGATCGTCAGTTCCTACAAATCTAGGGACTACCTCCGTTGATACTCCTTGGATGCAGCAAGACTCTCATCAGTCAAGTCCACCGCAAACAAGTGGAAATTCAGATTCAGCATCTGCACAATCACCTTCTAGTTCTAGTGGGGATACTCAGGTATGTGTTTGTAGCAAGTAATCTACATGTGTTTTTTCTTTTCCACAATGTTTGAAAATTACAGTATTATATTCAGATATACAATTGCAGAATCTACTTGCTATATTCAAATTAGATTAGTGTGATTTTGGATTTCTTGATAAAATTTTGAACTTCCTCCAGATCGCTCAATTTACAATTGTCACTTTGGCCTGGAACAGAAATCAGAAAGAGCTAAAAAAAGTGGAATGAAACTATGCAGTGACTTTTTTTTTTCTTTTCATATTTTACCTTCGCGAGATTAATGTGAGATACAACAATTGGCTCTATAGTCGATTGTTTAATTGATTTGTAAATTTTTTGTAAATGGGTGGTGCCCCTTTGGCACCTTTACTTCAATTCAACTTCATACTTTTATTTCAAAAAAAAAATGTGAGATACAACAATTCCAGAGTGTACTTGATGATGCTATAACATGAGATTAGTATGATTCCACAGTTCTTGATTAAGTTTTAAAACTTTTTTCATATCTCCCAACTTCCACACCTTGCCCTCCCCAATAAAGGAAAGAATAAACGGATAAAGAAAGGGGAATGAAACTACAAAGTGAACTCAAATTCTTTGGGCATGAGAACTATTTTTTTTTAATAGTAAAAATGAATATACTCAAGAGCACCTAGGGGGTGGAACTCTTGTATAAAGATTTACAAATCAATCAAAATATCAATAAATTCCCTAAGATTCTCGTTGTAATAAAGCAAATGACCCTCGACCAAAAAGTTTAGAGTCTAGAACCAAGAATCTATGAAGTGAACAAAATTAGATTTAGAACCCAAAAAAGCCCTTTTATTCATCTCGTTTTAGATAATTCAAAAAGTAGTCCGAGGGATAAGTTCTTTTTTTTCTTTTTTTGAAATAAAGTCATAGGGATAAGTCTTATCCTCTTATCCCCTTCCGTGCTTCTCTAAGCACAAAGTTCCTCCTTAACAAATCCAACAATAACCCAATTCAAACCCAACAAATTATAAGCGAAGCTCGAAGGTCGATATGCAAACGGACACCACAAGAGAATATGCCTGCAAGATTTGGCATACTTCTGGCATAGAAAACATTCATTCACTTAAATGTGTATGGGTAGGGACATATGACAAAAGTTGGTACGCTAGTACACTATCAAGACCTCATGGGAAAGCAATGTAGAAAAAAATATGCATAGGTAGGAACATATTCCAGAACTGTATTTAATGGGGGGTTGGCAAGGGTGACGGAGTCAGTTTTTGTTAGGACTGGTGGCTGGAAAGTTCCGCTTTCTTAGAGACCAATATCCTCAGATTTTTGTTATAGCACAACAAAAAGATATTTTGATCAGTGACTTTTTCAGAGAAATGGGGGCCGTCTAAAGGAGTGGCATGTAAATTTGCCGAGAGATCTTAATGATTGAGAGATTAATGAGTATGAGAATCTCCTAACTACTTTGTCACTCATAACTTTGGACGGCAGCAACGATCAAACTCTGTGGAATCTTACTACTCAAGGGTCTTTTTCAGTAAGATCATTCTACGAGCATCTTACTAAGCAGGAATGCTCTGGTTACAGGTTTCCTTTTAGACAAATATGGAAGGTTGAAGTCCCTCGCAAATTGGCTTTCTTTGCGTGGGAGGCCAGAAGGGGGTACATCCTGACTATTGATAAATTAATGAGGGAAATGACTATGGTGAACCATGCTACTTGTGTAAAAGGACAATGGAATCTTGTAATCATGTCCTTTTATGGTTTCCGGTTGCGTACAAGCTATGGTATACGGTTTATAGATTATTGGGTATTAGTTGTATGATGGCGGGGTCGGTTAGAGATGAAATATGGGCATAGACCTTATCCCACTTACCATCTTTTGGATAATCCAGAAGGAGAGGATAAAAGAGCTTTTGAGAGGGTAAATGATGTGGGAGATTTTGATAGGATTAAGAATAGATGTTTCCAAATCCTTAGCTTTTTTATCTTCGGTCATTCTCTCTATTATATGGAGGATTTTAGGAACCATGTTGACATTTTGGTAGATATGTAAATACTTTGTATATGAGTTGACATCCTCTTAGTGCCTTTTAACACATTATTTTACATTTTTATTTCAAATAAAAATTTTCCCCTCCTCAACTTTCTAAAGTCAAGATGCATTATTTTGTTGTCTCCCAAGCACAGAAAGCTACCCTTGGTGTTGCTTTAGCCTTCCAATCTGCCTGGCTTAAAAATCTCCACTGCTTACCTCACCAGCTATCAAATGCCCATAAAAAGATTTCACTGAAAAGATTTCAGATGAGGTCAACTTCCAGACTGGCTCATCGTTAGAATTATGATCATTTTTTTTTGGGAATGCCATCAAATTCATATATTCTGTTATCCCCCATTTCTTTAAATTTCTAATCAACTCCATACACTAAGCCTCATTGCCTCAGGTACTCATCCAGGACTCTTAGTAGTGGCGTCCTTATTATGAGCAACAACATATATATTAGAGGGCTGGAGGGATAAAGGCCCCTCAATCTTATCCAAACATCCCGCCAAAATCTCACTCTTTCCTCTGCCCCCATCCCCCTACTGATACATCCCCAAAATCCCCCCGTTCCCATGCTTATTCTTTTCAACAACCCCACCCCATGAAAACCCCTAGGGAAGTTAGTGAATAATCCCAGCCCTGCTACCCCATATTTTGCCTCAGTTATCCTTCTCGTAAACCTTACTTGCTCCTTCTTAAACCTCCATAACCACTTATCTTAAAATGCTATATAAAACCCATTGAATATTCTTTTGAAATAAAATATAAAACCCCTCCACTGATCTCAACCCCAATCTTTCCCTCTGAATAGGTTGTTTCACCCAATCCCATGCCACTAGGTGATATCTTCTCCTCTATGCACTATCACCCCACAAGAGATTACACTGCATTTTCTCCAACCTCTTCGCCGCATTAGAGGGAATCATGGACAGGAATATTAAATAGATTGGAATGCTCGCTAATGTGCTCTTTTTGAGTGTCAGCCTTCCTCCTTTAGATAACAACCACCTTTTCCTGCTGGCCAACCTAGATTCAACTCTTCTCACTACTGGTCCCAAGTTGCAATCTCCTTGAATTTGTTCCTAGTGGCATCCCCAGGTACTTCATTGAAATGTCCATGTGTGCAACCCAAATATCAGCCTCTGAACAGCTTCCCTGT